CAGCACTAGTGGAACTTTCCTTTAACTGAATAATTATGTCATATTTAGGAAAAGTGCTTGTGGTAACTGTCTTCTCTGAGCCTCATCAACACGGGCCACGGTACACTGGAGGTGAGGTATTTCATCTTAAGCTGTTATACCCAGCAGTAGAGCAGTCTTCCGTTCTCAATCACCATTCTACACTTTATTTACAATTTCAAATAATTTCTTGTGGATGCAGTATACCTGTAACCACTGTATTTTAAAAAATTTTTTTGCAGATATATGAGGACACTTGACACCCTACAACTCCTAAAAATGTATGTTGCTACCTTAATTGTTTTCAATATTTTAAAATAAACAATGTGAATGACTTCTTTATTGACACTGACAAACATATTTGTACTGCAATTTTTTAATGTCTTAAACTTTTGTTTTTCTTGTTTTACTTCTAGAACCCAGATTTGACAGCAGTGCACACCCATCAGAGGGCTACCTATTTTACTTTGTGATTACCCCAGATACTTCTACAACTAACCCGCTTTGTAAGTTCTCATAGTTACACCGTAAAGAAGCACATAGCTGTATGGAAATTTCCTTTGTATTTGCTGGTATATTACTGAGATACTTGTATAAAGATTAATGTTGATTATATATCTTGTTCACCCAAAAGAGAAAATTATGCCATTGTCATTCCATCCCATGAAAAAGTGTTCATCTTCATGACACGAATGAAGATATTTAACCATAGAGGTTCTATTCACATGCCTATCTTTGACAATTATTTTTTTCCCCCATCCAGTTCAGACCCTGCATTTCGTGTTTGGTCATCTAATGGCCTTCTCAGGATTAGTGACCTCTATGAAGAGGGAGTCTTTGCCTCTTTCTCCTTTTTATCTAAAAAGTATAATTTACCCAGTCATCACTTATTTCGATTTTTCCAAATCAGACACTTTATACAGAAGCAGTTCCCTCACTTTCCTAATCGTCCCCCTGAAACGCACATTGATAATTTCCTTGATTTGAATATCAACCATAAGCATTTAATCTCAGTCATTTATAATTTAATAAATTCAATTAATGTGAACCCCACTGACGCTCTTAAAGATACTTGGGAGCATGATCTAGGAGTTACTATTACAGAGGATCTATGGCGTAACATCTTGACCCAGGTACACTCCTCTTCCTTATGTGCTAGGCATGGTTTGATGCAGTGTAAAATACTATTCAGAGCCCACTTAACCAATGCCCAGTTGGCTAAATTTTACCCAGACAGAAGCGCTGCCTGTAACCGCTGCAAACATTCACCCGCTGATCACCTGCATATGTTTTGGACATGTCCACAGCTGGCAACTTTCTGGTCAGGTGTATTTGATACATTTAATAAAGTTCTCAACACTAATATAGACCCTGATCCCTTCTTAGCCCTCTTTGGAGTATCCCTTAGACCTGATCTGACAGCCCGAGATTGTAAGGTTGTTGCTTTCGCTACAATCTTGGCCAGACGAGCTATCCTTCTTATGTGGAAGCATACCTCGCCCCCGACACATAACAGGTGGATACAGGAATTTTTTGACTGTATCAGACTTGAAAAGTTAAGATGCTCACTCTCTGGTTCACTCAAATCCTTTTATAAGACTTGGGATCCCTTTTTGGACTATATTAAAGGACTACCTTGTGCACCTGTAACTGGCAACATGTAATGTTTGTCATCTGTTAGAAGGGATTTTTTTTTTTTTTTACTTCTATGTTGGTTAATTATATCTATTTTATTTCATTTGTTATTGTTTAACTATTCAATTTACTGTGTTTCTGTCTGAGTTCATATGAATGGGGGGATTGTGGAAGGGATTAATAATGGACAATGTCCTACTGTTCACCTTGTTATCATTATTTCAATCTGTATTGTCACACAAAATACCAATAAAAATATTTGAAGTAAAAATGAGGGTACCAGTAAAATATGATAAAAAAATGTAAAATTATACAAATAGGAATAATGATAAAAATGTGCTTTATACACTGTAAAATCCAATAGTTTAACTTACTTAGATATAATTGGTTATCTTTACTTAGTTGTTATACTTACTAGGTTTTGTTAAGTTACAGCCATTTTACGGCGAGTAAAACAACTAACTTACTGCTATGAGTAACTGTTACTTAAATTATTAAAGTAGCCACAACGAAACCAATGACATTAATTGACCAGTGAGAGGCAGCAGTGCGCCAATGTGTTGCTAATGTGCAACAAAACAACAGAAGAAGAAATAAGCATGGTTAGAGAGCATGCGCAGCAAGCAGTGTTTTGAATATGTGCACCGAATTTGCTGAACCTGGGAAGAAGGAGAGAGACTGCTTGCATTTTTATCACTGGACAAAGACCGATTACTTCTATACAATAAAAGAAAGGTACGTTTAAAAAAAATAATTGTGTGTTAATGTATCTTTCTGTGTGCTGTTAATTTGAACCGACTATGACTAACTCCTTGTCAGCACCGTGTTCGCTAAGAGGCACCAAAGATCTAGGCTATTCTGCTGTTAGAACTTATGGCGTATTTTTACTGTCTCAAATTCAAAACTTTGTAGCTAGTTAAAAATCACAGCCTGGAAATTCCGAGGTACAATCTTAAGAGCATTCCAAAAGTCGTCAAGATGAGCTCTCAGCAGGTTTTAAAGTCAATACTTAGGTGCCACTGGTATAATTAATTATTTACTGTAATGTTTGCAGTGTTCCCTCTATAATTTTATAAGACTGTGATGCTTTGGTCACTTTTTGGGTTAAAGTTATTTTTTTAAATTTATAATTTTATTGTCAATATATTTTAATACATCACAAATCATAGTCATTACGTGATTACACCTTTAAGGGTTAAACTGAATGAGCTCTTTGTCTTGCAGTAATTGTTATTTCTTTGCTGTGTTGAACAGTAATACAGAGCAAATGCTGCATTTGAATTGATTCTATGATTGAGGCCATTTTCAACCACTTGTGGATAAATCAAAGCTGGACATGTGTAGATGGGCCTCTCTGCCTTTATCCCTTGTAGGCCGCATTAATTTGGTCAAAATGGTTATTTTGCCTAAATTTCTTTACCTCTTTCAACACTTACCGATTTGCATGACTAAATCTTTCTTCAATGGCTTTGATGGTCTTTTGCGCTCATTTCTGTGGGGAAATAAACCTGCTCGGCTTAAGAAGTCAATCCTACAGCTCCCTAAAGCTAAGGGAGGCCTAGCACTCCCCAATTTCCAGCAATATTATTGGGCCTGCAACATTCATAAGCTTCTCTTTTGGAATAGGGATAGCTACTCTGACAACTGTCCACCCTGGGTGCATACAGAAACTTCTTCGACGAAAAGTGCTCTCTATTCTATTGTGTGTTCTCAACTTCCCTTAGTTTTAAGCAAAGTCTCAAATAATCCAGTAGTCACTAATACCCTCAAAATCTGGGTGCAATTTAGGAAACATTATGGCTTACATAGAGGTTCTATTCACATGCCTATCTTTGACAATTATTTTTTTCCCCCATCCAGTTCAGACCCTGCATTTCGTGTTTGGTCATCTAATGGCCTTCTCAGGATTAGTGACCTCTATGAAGAGGGAGTCTTTGCCTCTTTCTCCTTTTTATCTAAAAAGTATAATTTACCCAGTCATCACTTATTTCGATTTTTCCAAATCAGACACTTTATACAGAAGCAGTTCCCTCACTTTCCTAATCGTCCCCCTGAAACGCACATTGATAATTTCCTTGATTTGAATATCAACCATAAGCATTTAATCTCAGTCATTTATAATTTAATAAATTCAATTAATGTGAACCCCACTGACGCTCTTAAAGATACTTGGGAGCATGATCTAGGAGTTACTATTACAGAGGATCTATGGCGTAACATCTTGACCCAGGTACACTCCTCTTCCTTATGTGCTAGGCATGGTTTGATGCAGTGTAAAATACTATTCAGAGCCCACTTAACCAATGCCCAGTTGGCTAAATTTTACCCAGACAGAAGCGCTGCCTGTAACCGCTGCAAACATTCACCCGCTGATCACCTGCATATGTTTTGGACATGTCCACAGCTGGCAACTTTCTGGTCAGGTGTATTTGATACATTTAATAAAGTTCTCAACACTAATATAGACCCTGATCCCTTCTTAGCCCTCTTTGGAGTATCCCTTAGACCTGATCTGACAGCCCGAGATTGTAAGGTTGTTGCTTTCGCTACAATCTTGGCCAGACGAGCTATCCTTCTTATGTGGAAGCATACCTCGCCCCCGACACATAACAGGTGGATACAGGAATTTTTTGACTGTATCAGACTTGAAAAGTTAAGATGCTCACTCTCTGGTTCACTCAAATCCTTTTATAAGACTTGGGATCCCTTTTTGGACTATATTAAAGGACTACCTTGTGCACCTGTAACTGGCAACATGTAATGTTTGTCATCTGTTAGAAGGGATTTTTTTTTTTTTTTACTTCTATGTTGGTTAATTATATCTATTTTATTTCATTTGTTATTGTTTAACTATTCAATTTACTGTGTTTCTGTCTGAGTTCATATGAATGGGGGGATTGTGGAAGGGATTAATAATGGACAATGTCCTACTGTTCACCTTGTTATCATTATTTCAATCTGTATTGTCACACAAAATACCAATAAAAATATTTGAAGTAAAAATGAGGGTACCAGTAAAATATGATAAAAAAATGTAAAATTATACAAATAGGAATAATGATAAAAATGTGCTTTATACACTGTAAAATCCAATAGTTTAACTTACTTAGATATAATTGGTTATCTTTACTTAGTTGTTATACTTACTAGGTTTTGTTAAGTTACAGCCATTTTACGGCGAGTAAAACAACTAACTTACTGCTATGAGTAACTGTTACTTAAATTATTCAAGTAGCCACAACGAAACCAATGACATTAATTGACCAGTGAGAGGCAGCAGTGCGCTAATGTGTTGCTAATGTGCAACAAAACAACAGAAGAAGAAATAAGCACGGTTAGAGAGCATGCGCAACAAGCAGTTTTGAATATGTGCGCCGAATTTGCTGAACCTGGGAAGAAGGAGAGAGACTGCTTGCATTTTTATCACTGGACAAAGACCGATTACTTCTATACAATAAAAGAAAGGTACGTTTAAAAAAAATAATTGTGTGTTAATGTATCTTTCTGTGTGCTGTTAATTTGAACCGACTATGACTAACTCCTTGTCAGCACCGTGTTCGCTAAGAGGCACCAAAGATCTAGGCTATTCTGCTGTTAGAACTTATGGCGTATTTTTACTGTCTCAAATTCAAAACTTTGTAGCTAGTTAAAAATCACAGCATGGAAATTCCGAGGTACAATCTTAAGAGCATTCCAAAAGTCGTCAAGATGAGCTCTCAGCAGGTTTTAAAGTCAATACTTAGGTGCCACTGGTATAATTAATTATTTACTGTAATGTTTGCAGTGTTCCCTCTATAATTTTATAAGACTGTGATGCTTTGGTCACTTTTTGGGTTAAAGTTATTTTTTTAAATTTATAATTTTATTGTCAATATATTTTAATACATCACAAATCATAGTCATTACGTGATTACACCTTTAAGGGTTAAACTGAATGAGCTCTTTGTCTTGCAGTAATTGTTATTTCTTTGCTGTGTTGAACAGTAATACAGAGCAAATGCTGCATTTGAATTGATTTTATGATTGAGGCCTCAAATAGATATGTATAGAAATGCGTATTCTTTCTTTACTTCTTTCTTTCTGTAATCCTTGTAAAGCATGCAAATATCAAGGAATGAATGTGGTTGTAATCTACAAGCCACAACACTAGTGGAACTTTCCTTTAACTGAATAATTATGTCATATTTAGGAAAAGTGCTTGTGGTAACTGTCTTCTCTGAGCACCAGTCTCATCAACACGGGCCACAGTACACTGGAGGTGAGGTATTTCATCTTAAGCTGTTATACCCAGCAGTAGAGCAGTCTTCCGTTCTCAATCACCGTTCTACACTTTATTTACAATTTCAAATAATTTCTTGTGGATGCAGTATACCTGTAACCACTGTATTTTAAAAAATTTTTTTGCAGATATATGAGGACACTTGACACCCTACAACTCCTAAAAATGTATGTTGCTACCTTAATTGTTTTCAATATTTTAAAATAAACAATGTGAATGACTTCTTTATTGACACTGACAAACATATTTGTACTGCAATTTTTTAATGTCTTAAACTTTTGTTTTTCTTGTTTTACTTCTAGAACCCAGATTTGACAGCAGTGCACACCCATCAGAGGGCTACCTATTTTACTTTGTGATTACCCCAGATACTTCTACAACTAACCCGCTTTGTAAGTTCTCATAGTTACACCGTAAAGAAGCATATAGCTGTATGGAAATTTCCTTTGTATTTGCTGGTATATTACTGAGATACTTGTATAAAGATTAATGTTGATTATATATCTTGTTCACCCAAAAGAGAAAATTATGCCATTGTCATTCCATCCCATGAAAAAGTGTTCATCTTCATGACACGAATGAAGATACTTAACCCAAAACTTTGACACTTCAAAATGTTCCTAAAAAAACATAAAATAAATCCATATGAATGGGGCCATTTAATCTACTTTTGGGCCAAACGGTTCTATGAATCATAAGGAGCAGCTCCAGTTATATTTCTGCTTGAACTTGGTTAGGCATAGTGTGATTACAAAACCATTCTTGATCCAGAATTCTTAGTCGAACATGCTGAACCATGCTGTAGAAAGCCTGTAGTGACGTCGCTGCTCAGGATTGGCCGTTTGTCTTTTGCCTAGCCACCAGTTTCTCTAGCTGGCCAAGTGTGCTATTTGAGCAAAGTAAACAAGTTAATATTAAAATGAAAAGAAATACTTCATCTTTCATAACATGGGTGCTATTTTCATCTGGTACCGTATCTTAACTCTTGCATTACCAAGGCAACGACATTTGTGTTGCATTCCAAAGAGCTCTGTTAACAGCCCAAGTGTGAAAAATGAAACAATATCTGTATCGGCTTGGGCCGGATCAACACAGTTAATATTAAAATTAAAAGAATCTTTCATAACATGGGCGCTATTTTCATCTAGTACCGTATCTTAACTCTTGCATTACCAAGGCAACGACATTTGTGTTGCATTCCAAAGAGCTCTGTTAACAGCCCAAGTGTGAATAATGAAACAATATCTGTATCGGCTTGGGCCGGATCAACACAGAATGGTTAAGCAATGAGGATGGGTTTGGCCCACAGTGGGAAAGTGTCTCAAGTCTTTTGAAGAACTTAAATGAGTTTATTGTACTTAATCATTTAGTTGTTGAAAATAGTGATTCTGGGTTACCAGAACTTGCGTGTAAGTTTAGAGCACTTAATAAACCTTTGTTAGTACAAATTACTATTCTTATTTCACTTCACTTGGTTTTTTCAAGGCAATCGGTTTGCATGCTTTTTTAAAGTAAGGTTTACTAATTAGAATTTACAGTGTAGATGAGGAATGTTTTAAAACGTTTCTCTCTTTGCAAACAAAAGAATGTCTCGCTTTATTCTTATCTTGCTTGACCTTACCTTGGGAGGTTTGTCGCAACTTTGAGATTCAGGCTGTTCTGAAAAGAAGAATCCCCATGTCTCACAGGCTCAATGTTAGCAATACAAGTGGCAGTCTTTTGTAGCCAGAGATGAAAGATTCATCAGGCACAGATGGCAGTGGAAAAAAACAGCCAAACTTCAAAACTAGAAATCTCAAATATTTAATCATTTATTGAAATCAGAATTACGGTGAATGACTTTCCTATGTGCACTGCACATGAAAGTCAGAGGCAGAGTTTACGTTTATTTCTTTTGAATGTAGCCATGACCCATTTCCCTCAGTGTACCTGTTCAATGGCACCACTTCAATGAGAAAAGCGATCAATTATTCAGCACTGTCAGAACAGAAAAGGAAAGTGGAATGGGTTTTCAAATTAGTCATAATTACTGTGGTTGTATTTTTCACCTTAAACTACCAGGGTGCTAATCTTTCTGCAACATCACAGTGCTTTAAGACATGCTTTAAGACCCCTTCGAGTTTAAGTTCACCATGTTTTTTTTAGAACCAAGATGTTACAGAGTCCTCCAATCTGTTGCTCATCTGGCACAGCTCAAAATTATTTAATTTGCCTTATTAATGTTCAGTGACTCAGTGGCTCATTTTATGAATATATTTCTCTCCCTGCAAAGCCATTAGATTTTTCCACACAGAGAAGTTGAATCTAACAGAAATGTCTGTACTGCCTTGTATTTTAATAATGACAAATCTCAATTCAATCAGCCCTTCTCATTAGAGAAATTAGAAAGTAATGTTTAATTACTCTGAACTGTAGGATAATTTGGAAGTAGTTTGCCTTATAATTAATGTAAGGGCTGTGATGTTGAACTTCTGGTGATATAATATGATATGCGCTTTATTACGTAATATGTGTTCATGCAGTGTTATAGTTGCATGACTGTAAATTGATTAACTGGCTACATTGCTCTGTTATCCAAGATTCAGTGGTACAATTTTCCTTTCAGGGGCAAAATGTGATTTGCTGAGAACTGAACTTTGCTTGAGAAAAAAAGCTTGGTATATTGGGCCTTTGGAGTTTATAGTGCATTCATAAGCACATACAGGAAGCTCATATTCAAGAGGGCATATTTACTGCTGGGTGAAAGTATGTTCAATGGCCATAACTCACTATAATAGGCTCTATTTATCATTTAGCACCATCATTAGATAATATGAAATGTTAGGGCTACAATGGTCTGCCATCTATGTATATATAGTGCAATCTATAATGACACCCAAGCAATATCAATGCTCCACATTTTCCATATTATGGACCTTTTGGAAAACTCATCATAAAGGCATGATACTGTTACCATGCTAGGAAATAATCCAGCTGCTACTGATTCTTGTGATTAAATTTCCTTGTGACTGGCTGCCACAATAGGGTGCATTGGCTCAGGATGGAATTGGAGATCAGAGGAGCGAAACCTCGATAACAGATCTCATCCATTTACAGCAAGTGATCGCAATTTTATTATTGTATCCAGAGTAAATACAGTATGTGCTAACTGACCTTAAACTCTAGTTTCTTTGCACCGAGGCAAAGCAATGCATGCTTAAAAAAAAAGAAGAATATTCTTAAATCATCACTGTTTAGAGCTCAAAGGAATGAGGAATGTTCGTTTAGACAGGTTACATTTTGTTTTAACACAGCCTTTAAAGAAAGATTGGTATTGTATCTATCTATTACTATTACCATTGTTACTTTTATAACTTATAATGGAAGTTTGGGCTGCACGATTATGACAAAAATCATATTTGTCGATTATTCCTTTGAAATTGTAATTGCGATTATTAATTAGATTAATGATGTTTACACCTTTGTTTGAAGCAACTGCATGCCATATTTTTATATGAAAATAAACAAGCTGAAAACACTAACTGAAAAACTTTTATTGCTTTTCTAGTATTAAGCCTCAAATGTCAACTATACATCGGATTGGTTTCTCTTTAAATAAAAAGGTAAAAATATGCATGGTATTATAATGTTATACTAAAACTAAAATTAAAACAATGGAAAAAGCCTTAAGATAACATGTAGAAAGAAAAAAAAAGCATCTTAAGCATGCAGAATAACATAAGTGGACTTTGAACGATTAATTGCTGCTTTGAACGATTATGTAATTGTGGCATCCGTAATTGTAATTGCGATTAGAAATTTGATTAATTGTGCAGCCCTAATGGAAATACTACGATACTAATGAAAATACTATTATTATTTTAGACTATACTTGTATGAATTAATGACTCAATCATTTACAAGTTTGCATTTTGTTACAGCATAACCTGTCCAATGATAATTTCTCTTTGTATGCATTAGATTAGTTGAGTCCCTCAACTTTTCAAGTTTTTTTTGTTTTGTTTTATACATTTTTTTCCACAGTAGTTCTTTGTTTGGTGTTTGTGCTTTGAGAAAGCAAAAGCATCAAAATAAATACAGAAAGAAAGAAAAATGATAGTTGGGGTTTAAACAACATTGGACCAGGACTCCACTGGCTTTCATTGTATAAATTTAAAAAGAAAAAAAAAAATCCTTTTGTGTTACATAGAAAAAGAAAGTCATAGAGGTTTGGAACGACTGCACATAATTAACAGTGATGACAAAAACAACAACAACAGCAGCACAATTAAAGTCAGTAAACAGCACAACAATAATCCTAAAACAGCAACCCGCTAAATTTATTTATGCTGCAATGCAATCTGACTATTAACAAATCAGCAATATGCAGTTGTTAGTTCAGACAATTTCGTTAGACTAATTGAAACACTTAAATAATATTGTTGGTCTAACGTGTTTTACAGTAGATTCAAAGTAGTCCGCGTTTCCAAACTCCCACTGCGCTGAATAAATGTAATAGCTTTTTTTTTTTTTTACACAGTGATAAAGTAATAACTCAGAAGGCGCAGAGGGCAAGATGGGTATTATGTGTATCTGGTAAACTCTGTTGTAGCTGCAACCTTTGGCACTGGAGGGCACTATGAGAGTCTTTGCAGTGGCATTTTTGTTGATTCAAGTGACCTTTGTTATAAATAACAATGCCTGCCGTGATCTGCCATGGCCCACTGTTTATCTTCAGTTCTCGGACAGTGAGAGCAGCGTCCGTGAAAAAGGCCAAATTTATCTAATGAGCTCTCATGCTTGATAAGTGTGGACACGCGGCCTACAGCGAACATAACGAGGACTGGGGTGCGCGAGTTGACCAGTTAAATGAACAGGCAAAGTGGCTGTAGAGAAGAAAATCAAATTGTGTGACTAAAGGTGAGAAATGGGGATGAACACTACCTGTCAAAAGTTTAGAATTGTTGTAGGCTATAATTATTGTTTAGACAGGATGCATTACATTGATCAAAAGTGGCAGTAAATACATTTATAATCTTAGAAAAGTTCTGTTTCAAATAAATGCTGTACTTTTGATCTGATCATCAAAGAATATTTTTCTTTTGAACTTATTATATTCAGCAAAATACAGTTTTCAACAATGATAATAGAGATGTTTGATAATAGAATGATTTCTGAAGGATCATGCAACACTGAAGACTGGTGTAATAGACTTTAGTGATGTTATACACCATATTGAATTTAACATCGATAAAAAAGGCTGTGAGGGACAAACTAATGACATGCACTACTGTATACTTTTTAATACTCTTTTATTGAGTTTTTGTTTACTGAAGATTTTCAGAAAGACATTTTTTCAGCTGAACAGTTGTTAAAGAGCAGTACAATACAGTAAGACC